ATATGTATGTTATATATATGCAAAAAGAATATATATATATATATATATATATATATATATATATATATATATATATATATATAAAATACGTTCATTCTAAGCAAACTTCTTATAATATGAATCAAAATATACATGTGTTATAATATGGGTGTACTAATAACACAATGCGACATGGTAGAATTATAAATAAAACAAACAGTAATGCTATTTAGACACACAAGATTGACCATATTAGGTGACTATCTTCTCTAACGGTTGATGTGGTCATGCCATGTCAATTAATGAATATTTTCATGTTGATTCTATTTTTATTTACTTATCTTCCAATAATTCTTAAAAATTAAAAATAAAATTAACCCTACCTTTATGCATGTGAAAAAAATTTCTATTGTAGATATTATAAATCAATCTCTTTCATTTTGTGTCTTCTGATTTTACCTTTTAACTAATCAACTAATCCAATATACAGAGTGAGTTGAATCAAATTAAGTCCAATTTGGCAATCGGAAAGGAAAGGAAAAATATTTTCTTAAAATTTTGCTTAATATTGTCTTAATATTCATTTATATACATCTGAAATTTATTTCAATCATAGATAAGTTAAATCAAACTATCTTATTTTAAATTTTGTGTGCAGTTGGTTTAAATGGATTTAATTAAAACAGCTGGTGTTTCCACGTCTTTTTTACTTTTTACTTTTTTACGCGCAACAACTCAGCAACTGAGTCACCGAGTTATCACACCGACCTTTCATTTTACATTTTGAAAACCAAAATAGCGCCACAACAATACATTCCCTCTTCTTTTCGTCTGTCTCTCTCTCTATCTCTCTCTCTGTTTCTCTGCAACAAGTAAGCGAAAGCGATCGAGCGAGAGTTTTGAGTTCAACGATTGAGCGAGTGATTTTCTCTGCAACGATTGAGCGAGTGATTTTCTCATTTTACATTTTGAAAACCAAAATAGCGCCACAAGAATACATTCCCTCTTCTTTTCGTCTGTCTAACTGTCTCTCTCTCTCTGTGTTCCTCTGCAACAAGTAAGCGAAAGCGATCGAGCGAGAGTATTGAGTTCAACGATTGAGCGAGTGATTTTCTCGGTTCTCTCTCTTTAACGACTGTGTGAAATTTTGGGTTCTGAAAGCAAGAATGGCGTGGTCTGCTATAAAGCGCAGACAATTGGAGGATGGTTTTGGTTCCTTTGAGTTTCAGTTTCAGACCCAGAAGAGGAAGAGGTCTTCTAGGGTTTCTGAGACCCAACGGAAGGAAAATTCGACTGTTGGTCTTCCTCTGCGCAAAGTCAAAGGTTTGACTTCATCTGCTTCAAAAGAGACGTTGGATTGTTCTAAGGTCTTGGATTCTCTGATGAACCTCAGCCATGCGAGCTACTTCAACAAGCCTGTTGTTGATCCTGTGGCTGAGAATTTGCCGGGTTATTTCGAAGAAATCTGGAGGCCGATGGATTTGGGTACTGTGAAATCGAAATTGGAGAGGGGTGTCTACTCCAGCGCTGATGGCTTTGCTGCTGATGTCAGGCTTATCTTCTCAAATGCTTTCAGATATTTCAATATTGGAAGTAGAAATCGTGCAGCAGCCAAGCATCTGAGTGGGGTTTTTGAGACCCAATGGAAAAAAGCCGAGGAGAAAATGTCAAATACTGCTTGTCCTCCTCCTACTCCTCCTCTGCCCAAACGGAGACCAAATGGCAAGAGCTCTTCTGCTTGTAGGGTTCTTATGCAAAGTCAAGGGGTTGTTGGGGTTCCTGATTCGCACTCAGTTAAGTCAACCAAAGATGATGACTTGGGCACCCTTGTTCATCATGTCATGTATCAGGCCACAGAGAATCTTTCTCCATGTAAGGCTAGGCGAATTCAGTCGCTCAAAATGCGATTTTCAGGTACAATACGGAAAGCAAACAAGATACTTAAAGGTCTACCTGATTCTCCACCAAGGAGAAAATTGATGCATCGGATGGAGCGAAGGGAATCAGCTCGCCACGCCGTTTTGAACATGGAAAAGTCAGTCCAATTTGAGAACCCTTTAAAGGATCTCAAAGAACTTGAGATTCTGTGCGGCTGTGGCAGTGAAAAGATCTACCTTGGATTGCCCCTTAAGCATTTGGGTTTGTACCTCAAGGAAGATGACGAGTTGCAGGGTCAGGACGAGGAGGCGTTTCTGAATGGAGATTGGGAGGAAGGCGAGATCTGCTGGCAGGAAGGCGATTGGGAGGAAGGTGAGATCCGCTCGTGAAGTACAGGTTAGAGTTTACAAGGAAAATGAAGCATAGGTTACAAGCCACCTTGTCTCTGTTATTTGTTGTATATGGTAGTTGAATATATACCATAGTAATTCTGATTTTTTATTGTTGAGATGCCAGATTTGGAATATAACCCACTGCTCGACAAGATAGATGACTTAGAATATTGCTATTAGGGAATCTCTTTAAGTTTTACTTGCTAATTTGTTATAGATGAGGTTTCCAATGTGGATATAGTTGTATCTGCCTGATGCAATCCTACACATCCAGATATCTTGGAAACATTAGCAAAGTATGCACCGTTATGATGCATATAAGTCTTATAAGATAACATGTGTGTATCTTCCAGGATATAATTTGTTATAGATGAGGTTTCCAATGTGAATATCGTTTCTCTAAAATGTTTTACTTCTTGGAACTTTTTCCAGGATACAACAGAAGATAAAGTGTGTATGTTCTGTTGTGTGTTTGTGTACATTATCATATCATACATTGTACGTGTATCATGAATTGGACCACTGTGCTCTCTCTCTACTCTTTGTATTGTTTATTTCGTTTTTATTTGTGCCAGTTTTTGTGTGGAGATAATCCCCCATCTTCGCAGGTGCATCAGCAGCAGCCTTTCTTTCCCTATGAACATAAACCATAGAGCAATTCCAAACTCCTGCTAATCAGGTTTCTGCATCTTTAAGTTTGTATTGATTTATTAAAGGAATGAAATGATGAATAAGTGTTTTGCATCTGTACAAATAAAATGATTTCTTGTATAAGCTGTTCAGTTGCAAGGGTTGTTGCTATGGAGTGTGTGCCCCACTCGCCTAATCCCAGCATTGGCATTTGCTTCAGTAACCCTGATAATCAGGTACCCCATCTCCGTTTCACCTCTAAATTTATGCTTTAAAGATGAATGACATTTCATGCAACAATTTACAGAGCTGCTACTGTTTAGGAAATCTATGCTACCAATTTTTGTTTGTTGGTTTCATCTTGTCAGGTGTTTTCTGTTCCCAGCACTTATCCAAATTTCACATTATGTTTAAGCTAGTATAGAAGCTTGGGATTGCTCCTTGTAATGGTTTTTTCTTTCAATTTCTTTTGGCTTGGTGGCTGTTACAGTTTGCAGTTTGCATTGCTGTTAGAGTTGTGTTGCCTTCATCATCACTTCAATAAGGGTTATATCATGGCTATTTCAGGTGAAAATGTTAAAGATTGTGTATTAGTATTTGTTTTTGTTAAATTGAAAAGGAAAATGGAGTGTCAAAATTCCATTTACTGATGGAATGGTAATGATGCAAGACAGAATCATTGTTTTTGTGTTGCCTTCACAGTCATTGCTTTCTGTGTTAGTTTTTCTTTTTAATTTTTGGTTTAATAAAGAATGGTAATGAGGCAAGACAGTATATTTAGCATCTTGAGCAACAAATTATTCCTTGTTAAAGAATGTGTCTGCATCTTTTTGTTGGTTTTAATTTAATAACGATTTCTTGTCAAAGATGTTCATTTGCAAAGGTAAGGCTGGTTAGCTCCTACCCCCCCATGGAGTGTGTGTCCCCACTTGTCTAATCCCAGCGTTGGCATTTGCATTAGTAACTCTGATAATAAGGTACTCCATCTTCATCTCTCCTCTAAACATATGAAATAATCCAATTAGTGTTTTCTTTGTTTTGTCTTTTGTGGTTTAGATTTATCTCTTCCTTTTTATTTTTATTTTCTGGGGTGTCATTTATGTTGTCACCATGGTTATGTTTCAAAGATCAATGACATTTCATGCAACAATTACAGAGTTGTTACCTGTTTAGGAAATCTATGCTACCAATTTGTGTTTGTTGGTTTCATCTTGTCAGGTGTTTGTACCTTGTTTAGGAAATCTGGGTAAATAAAATTTGTGTTTGTCATACGGACTTTGAGCCTTGTAGAGTTTGCAGTTACCTATTCCTTGCACTTGTCCAAATTTCGTACTAGTATGATTTTCACTGAGAACTTGGGTTGATGAAGAAGAGAGGTTATAATTTTTAAAGCATACTATCTGCATCTTATGAGTTTTGGAGGTAGCGTGAACATTATATTAGAATGCCCAGAAAGATGATGTGGTTTTTTATTTATTTAAGTTGCCGTATCTGGTAAATAAAATTGTGCAGAGCACTGGTTAGAGTTTATTAGTCTTGTATTATTTCACCTTTTTAAGTCCTCTCAATTTTTCTTTGATTATACTTTTACTTGCTCTATAGTATTAGTTTATAACCGTTTGAGTTTTCCAAGTGTTATGTGTATCAGAGTAGAATAACTAGTAAGGTTGGCTTGGTACGCCAAAAGTTGACATAACAACCCCAATTTTTCTGAGTGTGAGGCTTTTAACTTTGAGCTCATATAACCCCAATTCCCTCACTTTGACTCTCAGAGGGGTTAATCTCTGAGCTCTGCAAACCCTAACTCACGCGAAGTTGGTATGAGAAAGCCACTTCCATTCAAACTCTGGAGGTCAAACCCTTCTTCATTTGTTCTTCTTTTGAATTTTTGTCTTGTAAGTCATTTAATCGCTAATAAATCTCTGCATAAACTGAGAAATTCCATCTTAAATCAGAGAAATTTAATATGTACAATATATATATATATATATATATATATATATATTTGTTGTTTATGTCGAGTGCGATAGTTATTAGTTTTGGTACTTTCTCTATATAATTCTGTTTGAGCTAGTTTAGAAGCTTGGGATTGCTCCTTATAATGGTTTTTTCTTTTTCTTTTGGCTTGGTGGCTGGTACAGTTTGCAGTTTGCATTGCTGTTGGAGTTGTGTTGCCTTCATCGTCGCTTCAATAAGGGTTATATCATTGCTATTTCAGGTAAAAATGATAAAGATTTTGTAGTAGTATTTGTTTTTGTTAAATTTACAAGGAAAATGGAGTGTGAAAATTCCATTACTGATTGTTCTAATAGGTTTTCTTGTGACCTTCCATATAGTAAATGATTTGTTATCTTTGGTTTAGGCTTAGGCTCGTTATGCACAAGGACTCATTCCTCCTTATCAAACAAATCACAGTTTAATACCTGTGCACTTATCTTTCCTTCTTCTGTTTTCCCTTTTATTTATTTATTTATTTTTTCTCAAGGAGCCATTCCTCCATGGTTAAGTGTCAACTAAAAATTGTGATTTGTTTTTATAGCATAAGAACCAAAACTTGTTCGTAAAAAACTGCTACTTTCTCGTACAAAATGTATCCCAATCATTTCTAAAAATGCTATAATAAGGTTTGTGCAGTGATCTTTTTGTAAAAGCTTCTATAGTGATGTCTTGGATGCTATAATCCTTTTTTTTTTCTTCTTCTTCAAATACTTCCAACTTGGCTATAGACCATGGGTTAGTTAGTACTTTTGGGATGCTGGGAGGATCATCATGTGGAGATACAGAGGAGCTATTGGCTTAGATTCAGATTTTAAGATCAACAGGAACGGTTGAGAAGGTTGGAGGTGGTTTACCCCTAGCTTTCTTACCTCAAATGGTTATTTAGTCTCATCTTAATTTATAGCCAAATTATTCTTAAAAGTTTTGTTTATCTTTCATTTCTGAGGTTCACACATTATTAATTGGAAGAACCATTAATTAGGAAGCTTCACTGAGAACTTGGGTTGATGAACAAGCGAGGTTATAATATTTAAAGTATACTATCTGCATTTGATGAGATCTTGAGGTAGTTTAAGCATTATATATAGATTAGAATGCCAAGCAAGCAGCAATGAATTTTTTATTTAAGTTGCCATATCCGGTAAATGAAATTGTATACAACTCTGGTTAGAGTTTATTTAGTATTGTATTATTTCACCCTTTCAAACTTTTTCTGTCAATGTCCATGAGTACAAATTTAAGTTCACTGAAATTTTCTTTTATTATCATCAATGACTAAAAATCAAATCAATGGACACCTTAGAAGTTCCACGTTTTAAACAATTGCCATAGCTGATGAGGGCACTCCAAACAAAAATTGGAAACCATTTTTATTTTGACATGTTAAACAGGATCTATGGTTCTGATCGTTTACAAAAAAGCGTACTTTCTGATGTGACTAAGCACTGCAGTGGAGAAGAGTTCTAATGGGGAACAGAAGCAGTTTCTGTTTCTGTTTGGTCTGTAATTGTACTTTCCCTTGCTCTATAGTTTCTAACTGTTTGATTTTTCCAAGTGTTATGTGTATTAGAATAGAATAAGTAGTAAGGTTGGCTTGGCACACAGACTTGTTTTGCCCTTCTACAGTTCAAAAACTTGAACATAAAGGCCCATTTGATAACTATTTCAATTTATTTTTTAGTTTTCATTTTTTGTGCTAGAGTATAGAGGAA